TATTGGACCAATATCTAGTTTTTATCCAAATCTTTTTTCACGATCAGTCATGATTGTTTAAATTTATTTCTCCTAAAATACTTTTATCAATGAAGTTTAATAAGTCTAAAGCGCTTAGTTAGCCATTCTTAGTTGTTTATTATAATTTTTTTTATCTCTTATAAATTTTTTTTAAACGAGTGCTAAAATAGCTTTTCCAATTCATAAATTATAAAACAAATACTAGGTAAATGCACAAGTATTTAACACCAGAACAAATCTAAACACCATATCTAAAATTGCTACGAATTGGAATAAAAATGAATTATGAACTAAAAAGCAAAATCAATGGAGAAAATGTATTTATTAGTTATGGGAAACAGTATAAAGTCGTCATAATATTATTAACATTAATGATGCTTAAATTCGGTAATAGGCATTACTGGTATGATATTAATTGGTGCTGATTTAAGAGGGAAACAAATACAACGCTTTTATGTAGGTATGCAAAGTATTTTATGAATAGATTTGATGCCGACTACTAATACTGAAAATTTTTATGAAAATTTTTCATGGCCTCTCGAATATTTATGTACGGGAGAAAGTAACTTGATCGAGGTAAATTTTAAACATCATGAGTTGCCTTGAGCAACAGAATTCTGCCAGAGGATATTGAATACAGTTAATCCATATTTTAATGGGATGAACTACTAAATTCGTGTTTTTCTTGATCTAATAACGTAAAGCCACCAAGAAGGGCAGCAAAAAAAAATTGGAATTATTATAGCTTTATTATTTTTGATGGAATTTGTTTTGCAGTTTCATGCACGATTTTGTTGTTATTCAGTACTGATTTATTGATTATTATTTTTTTACCCTGTACGAAGAACGGGGTAAAGAATAAAAATAAAATAAACTAGTAAATGAAATAAAAAAAGAATAAGAGAAAAATATTAGATGTCACCAGATTTACTTTTATTTACATAATCTTAAAATTTATAATGAAATTTTTAAGTTTATAAGAAGAAAGAAAGAAATTTAAATTTCAACTGTTGTATGATATACGGTTATCGTTAAATATTGCTAAGAAGTAAGAAGCATTTTATACTTCTTGAGTCACATATTTCGTATAGTTAACTTATATTTTAATACAACTGATTATTTTTTAAATAATCGTACATTTCGTTACGATAAAAGTAAAATAAATATGTACCTTATAACCAAAATTAACCCTTTTTGTTAAAAAAAAAGAATAAAGAAAAGATGAATATGAGAAGCAACAAAAGGGATTAGTAGGAGGAGTTTCCTAATACTAAAGACACTACTAAGTATGTTCGAAATAACAATTAGAAAGCTTCCTTGGAAAAACTGTCCACACTAGCTCCCGCATGTATATGGATAGACAAATAATACAATTATTTATTCCCAATGTAGCAATGGAATGTCGTGCCTTTCTCATGATACATTTCTCACGCCGATAAATGTTTTCAATTATTTAAAAAAAATACCTATGAATAAAAAAAAATAAAATATCAGTAAGTTTTATTAAAATATGCAAAATCATTTTTGAAATTTTTCTTAAACTTGTAAACGTAATTAGTTAACTAAAAATAGTTAACTAAAAACTTGAGTTTCGTCACACAGAATTTAAGATTTCAACATTTTAGTTAATTAATTAAAATTGTTCACTTTTTTTTATTTACAGGTTTTTAATGATTCCCGAACAATAAGAGGATGTTAGAAAAATAGCTAAAATATTTTTACTTTTCGCTCAAACTTCCACTTAATTGTATTGAATATTTATAACAATATATTTTTCTTCTATCCGCATTGACAAGAACATCTGTAAATCATAAAACTTAGGGAAAAAAAACAATAACCGCTTTAAAAACTTGTTCATTCTTTTCTGATAACAAAGGAAAGGTTTTAGTAGATCAAAGAGAGGATAGAATTATTTGTTTAACAATTTCGTGAATGAAAAATGATGTCATTTACCAAATCGCGGAATGACGTGCGTAGTAAAATTTACTGCCGGAAGTTGTAAGATGAAATACAATTCTTTCTTGACAGGATGAGACTACCACGGGAAAATGTTTAAACCATTAGGTGTGAAAAATTTCTGAAGTTTATTGATCTTATTAATCATAATATTTTCTGTTACCATAAAATAAGACATACACTGGTAGTCACTCTTATATTCTTATTCCACTCTGTAGCCTTACGGGATACATGATGTTCCTAAAAAAATTTCCCAGATTACAATATTTTCTTGACAGGATGATACTACTACGGGAAAATGTTTAAACCATTAGGTTTGAAATATTTCTAAAATGCATTGATCTTATTAACCATATTTTCTGTTACCATAAAATAAGACATACACTGGTAGTCACACTTATATTTTTATTTCTCCCTTTAGCTTTTATAATATACAGGATTCTCCTAAAACATTTCCCAGATTCAGTGGCATATTTTAACTGTTTCATTAAAGCAGTGTTCTTCAACCTTTTTATCACCCCGCACCGGTCAACGTTTGGCCATTTTATTATGGGCTGCTGAATAGGAGAAGACGTTAATTGTTTATAGATTACTTTGATTTGCTAATTTTAATTTAATTGTATTTAAACAAGATTTCAAAATAAAATACAGTTACATGAGCTGTATTCGTGTGGCTCTCTGTGATGTCTCTTAGCTCTCAGTTAACCTCCCGTTCATGGAAAGTCGTACAAATTCGTGAGAAATATAGAAATAGAAAAGTAGAAATATTTAAATGTAGAAATAATTATAAAAAGGGAAATAGTTAAAGTTTCTTTGGGCTGCCCTGTGCCGGTCCGCGGGTTAAAGACCACAGGTTTAGTGAACGAATAATACATAAAATAAAAGTTAAACCAACCCAGTTTTTCTAACATATGTTCAATAGGTACACCATCATTTATACGGCTCATTTCATTAGATATACGTCACAGTTCAACTTTAAGCCCAATTCTTTCTACAGTTTTTTGTCCATTCTTATTTTTTTCGCAAAATTGTGAATCCTGATCATAAGACGTTTTTGGTCTGGAAATCGCCATTAATGAATATGTAAATTCAATTTAATTTTTAGTTTCGTTTAGAGTTCAATTGTGAGACACCATCAGCTAAAATATCATTTTACGGTATCCCATTATTCCGACTTTTTTGTCAAAATATTATTTTGTCAATTATGGCAAAAAACAGAGTGTTTCTTAAGAAAAATTAATCTCTCAGATATTTTTTGACAAAAGACTTTTTTATGTTAATATTAAATGATACTCTTCTACTCTTCTCTGCACGCTTCACCCTTTTTTGATGGAAATTGAGGGATTTGAGGAGATTTGAACACAAGCAAGTGAGGCACTGTTTTCGATTGTTTTCACGCTGAATTACATAAGCTTAATCCAAGAAAAAACTCCATTATTTTGAAATTATAGAATTTTTTTGTACAAAAAGTACAAATTTGTACTTGTACCTTATTACAAATTTGTATTGTTATGTAAACAAGTGAGATACAGTTTCCAATGTTTTTTTTTACAGTTAATAGAATGAAACTCGAGTCAATAGAACGAATAGTTTAAAAGTTGCAATTGTTTTTATACATAAAAATTACTACTTATGAAAATAAATTGAACTGAATAAATGGTTTTAATGTCATACTTTAAGGTATCATGATAAAAATTATCAAATTTTACCCCATTTACCAAATTTTTATCTCAGATTATCTTATTGTTAGTTTTACTAAAATCGTTATCAGAACGTTTGGTTAAAATTACTGAGATTTATGGTGTTTCCAATCAGTAAGAAAAACACGGTAAATTTTCTCTTATTCTGTTTTTTTTTTACCATTCTTTTTTCACAGTATAGTGGTAATATATTTTATGCCATATCTGCGAATAGCGCAATCAGAGACGGAAAGTTGTCATAATTGACATAACTAGTTTTGAAGAATATATTATCAGTTAATACATATTACGAGAAGAAAGAGAAGATTTTTAATTCAGGGAAGCAAGAAATTTGTACAAAAATAGCAGTATTTTTTAGTGGTGATGAACAATGATATATAAATAATTATAATATCAGTTAATATATAAATAACTGATATATAAATAATTGAAATATTTACTATGCATTTTTATTTCAGGAACAAAAAGTTTTTAACACAATTAGTTAAGCAAATTTATAGGATATAAAATTATTAAGCTATGAGTAATTATAGAGGTATGCAAAAATTTAATTTACATGATCTATAGAAATTTTTTTAATTATTTTTTTTATTTTTTTATTTTACGTAAGGGGGGCAAAGTGTCTCTGCTAATTAGGTGACTTTATTGGAGATAGTTGCCATAAAATACTTTACGTTGTTTGGGGGAAATATACTTCTGAGACGTAACAATCTCTTAGCAACAATAGGGAAGAATCAATCCCCATTTATCGAGTAAAATAGAGGAATTTGATAAACTTTACTATGAACAAATAATTATCTGACAAAATTTATTTTAATAAAAATTATAATTTTCTCTTATTGTATTATTCTTGTAGCTAAAATGAAAAAAGATACTTCTGTTTTACTTGAAAAATCTTCGTAATTGTCAGATAAGAAGAACACTATACTATAGCGCGTAAAATATCTTAAACCAGCATAAAAACATGAAACATTATCTTTTTATTTCATTAATCGTCATAAGTTATTAATTCCAATATGTTAATTAAAGTTAATTTCATTTAACAAAATTTTAAAATCCACATTCCGAGTGATGGTTTAAAAATATCAGATGGATAATATTGAAAATAAGGTCAACAAAATCATCGATAATTAATTATTAATGCTGATTCTTTACTTAGTGATCCAAAAATAGTTTCAGACAGAAAATAAATCTTTCATTCTTGTTATTAACAATGAATTTTTTATGTTTTTAAAGCATACTTAAAGACACTAAAAAAATAAAAAATAAATAAATCATCAGAAGTGAGGAAGTGCTGTAAAAATAGAATCAGAGCTCACGTACCTCTTCAAAAACACTGTCTCCATCTTCCCTATCGCTACTTTCATCCATTGTTAATTTTATATCCAGTCACTTAACAACTCAACACAATCTCAAGAAAAGTCATAAAAATGCGCTTAGTCGGTTGTCACCGAATCTAACTTTAACTACCTACCATCGCCAAGTTCTTAACTTAGCCGGTCTTACCACTATTACTCACGTATGGCGTTGGCGAAACAGAAACTAAATAATAACACAGACTTGGCTCAATTGAGGTATTCAAGGATGTAAATGTTTTTATTTTTTTTCCTATCAGAATCCTGTCCGTTTTTATTACACCCTTCTCTTTTTTGTGCGTGAGTCAATGGGCTACGTTTCTTTTCTTTTAAAAATTGCGGGGGTGATTCCAAGTATAACGGAATATTCTTTAAAAAGATGTCGTAATTTTGTTACTTGTGGTTTCTTTTTGCTTAAAATTAAGAAAACAGAAAGGAATTTTTATTGAGATAAGAGTATGAAAACGATAATGATATGTAAAAAAATTCTTTTAATTGTAAAATCTCTCTCCCTTTTTATTTATATATATATATATATATATGCAGGGTGTCTCAGTTAAGCGTTTCAGAACTTCTAAGAGGGGTAGGGGGCATCCCTACGACTCGAAATCATACAGCAATGTGAGGTCGGAAATGCTTTCCTGAAGCGGTGACGTACACATAAGCATCATAAAGAAAAGAGACCGTAAGTGAAAAATCGCTATAATAATACATTGAAAAAGTTATATGGTACATGGGTCAAAGTAAGTGTTCGAAGTTTCTGCCTCTGGCTACAACGTACACCTCACATCTCCGGCGCATGGACATTCGAACATTCTGCAATACTCCAGGCATTTTTTCGCAGGCTGCTACTGCGATTCTTGCAACCAGTATTATCAAGAGGAGTGTCATAAACTAGTGTTTTCATATGACTCCAGAAACCAAGACATGATAGATCGGGTGACCGAGGAGGCCATGTAATTTTTTCAATGTATTATTATATTTTCAATGTATTTTTCACTTACGGTCTCTTTTCTTTATTGTGCTTCTGTGTACGTCACCGCTTCAGGAAAGCACTTCCGACCGCACATTGCTGTATGATTTCGAGTCGTAGGGATGCCCCCTACCCCTCTTAGAAGTTCTGAAACGCTTAACTGAGACACCCTGTATATATATTAAAAATAAGAATTTGAAAGTTTTTCTTTAGATTGATTGGTAACAATAGCTTACTGCCAAACAATAGGAAGTCATCTAGCAATGTTTTGGATTACCTGGTCAAATAGACTTCTCTGGAAAAT